AATGACCAAACCACCTCAACAATCCCTCTTCTGCCCTCTAATACTTTTATTAACTCCACACCTTTTCCTAATTTCCACACTCCGAATTTTCTGCATAATATTTACACCACACATTGCCCTTAGACAGGACATCTCCACTGCCTCCAACCGTCTCCTCGCTGCTACATTTACCACCCAAGCTTCACACCCATATAAGAGTGTTGGTACTACTATACTTTCATACATTCCCTTCTTTGCCTCCATAGATAAGGTTTTTTTGACTCCACATATACCTCAATGCACCACTCACTTTTTTTCCCTCATCAATTCTATGATTAAGGTCATCCTTCATAAATCCATCCACCGACACGTCAACTCCCAAGTATCTGAAAACATTCACTTCTTCCATACTCCTCCTCCCCAATTTGATATCCAATTTTTCTTTATCTAAATCATTTGATACCCTCATCACCTTACTCTTTTCTATGTTCACTTTCAACTTTCTACCTTTACACACATTCCCAAACTCATCCACTAACCTTTGCAATTTTTCTTTAGAATCTCCCATAAGCACAGTATCATCAGCAAAAAGTAACTGTGTTAATTCCCATTTTGAATTTGATTCCCCATAATTTAATCCCACCCCTCTCCCGAACACCCTAGCATTTACTTCTTTTACAACCCCATCTATAAATATATTAAACAACCATGGTGACATTACACATCCCTGTCTAAGACCTACTTTTACCGGGAAGTAGTCTCCCTCTCTTCTACACACCCTAACCTGAGCCTCACTATCCTCATAAAAGCTCTTTACAGCATTTAGTAACTTACCACCTATTCCATATACTTGCAACATCTGCCACATTGCTCCTCTATCCACTATCATATGCCTTTTCTAAATCCATAAATGCAATAAAAACTTCCCTACCTTTATCTAAATACTGTTCACATATATGCTTCAATGTAAACACTTGCTCTACACATCCCCTACCCACTCTGAAACCTCCTTGCTCATCCGCAGTCCTACATTCTGTCTTACCTCTAATTCTTTCAATTATAACCCTACCGTACACTTTTCCTGGTATGCTCAATAAACATATTCCTCTATAATTTTTACAATCTCTTTTGTCCCCTTTCCCTTTATATAAAGGGACTATACATGCTCTCCGCCAATCCCTAGGTACCTTCCCTTCTTTTATACATTTATTAAACAAAAGCACCAACCACTCCAACACTATATCCCCTCCTGCTTTTAACATTTCTGTCATGATCCCATCAGTTCCAGCCGCTTTACCCCCTTTCATTCTACGTAATGCCTCACGTACCTCCCCCACATTTACATTCTGCTCTTCTTCATTCCTAAAAGATGGTATACCTCCCTGACCAGTGCATGAAATTACTGCCTCCCTTTCTTCCTCAACATTTAAAAGCACCTCAAAATATTCTCGCCATCTACCTAATACCTCCCTCTCCCCATCTGCTAACTCCCCTACTCTGTTTTTAACTGACAAATCCATACTTTCCCTAGGCTTTCTTTCGATAGAAATTTTTTCCTCGGGGCGTCATATTATGCTATTTTTTTTTTTAAGGTGTACTTTTTATGTTTATATGCTATTATTATATTGCATTATATCATAATAGATCAATTGTGATAGATAAATAAGCCTTATAATTGATATTAGCGTGGGTATGGAATATTTTGTTGGCTGGAGGTGTCGGCCATTTTGTGCACTATTCCCAGGGGTTCCCGATTGGTGCCGTGACCATATCAGCTCCGCCCGCTCGGGAATGATCTCAGATGGTGAATTTGTATTATATTAGACAAAGATATAAGAAAACGATAAAAATAACACGGAGAAAAACGTAACAAAAACGTAAACAAAGCCGAGTCAGCGCTTCTTACGCAATATGTTGCGTCAGCGCTGTCACCATGCCTGTTATAAATGGCTGTAATTCCTTTTAGAAACATCGTACAAGGATAATAATTATACCAGCGTGTAGCCAGAAAGTTCAGCTATATTTTGGTAATAATAACTCAGTTTTCATATATTTTCGAATTTTTTTTTGCTCCGCGCGCGGGAACTCTGAATCTCCCCTTAACTCACTCCAAAATTTTTTCTTATTTTCATTTAAAAAAAATGTATTAATAACAAAAAAAAGGCACAGTACAGTGACTGGAACGATACACAAATAACCCACACATAAAAGAGAAGCTTACGACGACGTTTCGGTCCGACTTGGACCATTTACAAAGTCACACTGTAAAAAAATGTATTGTTTGTTAATATTTTTGGCGTTTGGAACAGATTAATTGTCTTCTTCCTTTCAACACACCGGTCGTATCCCACCGAGGCGGGGTGGCCCAAAAGGAAAAACGAAAGTTCCTCCTTTTACATTTAGTAATATATGTACTATATACAGAAGAAGGGGTTACTAGCCCCTTGCTCCTGGCATTTTAGTCGCCTCTTACAACACGCATGGCTTACGGAGGAAGAATTCTGTTCCACTTCCCCATGGAGGTAAGAGGAAATAATTGTATTTACATTAATGCTCATGGGAAATATTGCTTCGAATTTAGGCCGTTTCAAATTCAGGCCGACCTTCTGGAACGGATTACGGCCAAAAAACGAGGTTCCACTGTACTAAGATAAACTTCTTCCTTCTTTCAACAAACTGGCCGTATCCCACCAAGGCAGGGTGGGTGGCCAAAAAGAAAAAAAAAAATTTCTCTTAACTTTAGTAATGTATACAGGAGAAGGGGGTTGCTAGCCCCTTGTTCCTGGCATGTTAATTGCCTTTAACGACACGCATGGCTTATAGAGGAAGAATTCTGTCCCACTTCCCCATGGAGATAAGAGGAAATAAACAACAAGAACTAGATGTTGCAAGTATATGGAATAGGTGGTAAGTTACTAAATGCTGTAAAGAGCTTTTATGAGGATAGTGAGGCTCAGGTTAGGGTGTGTAGAAGAGAGGGAGAATACTTCCCGGTAAAAGTAGGTCTTAGACAGGGATGTGTAATGTCACCATGGTTGTTTAATATATTTATAGATGGGGTTGTAAAAGAAGTAAATGCTAGGGTGTTCGGGAGAGGGGTGGGATTAAATTATGGGGAATCAAATTCAAAATGGGAATTGACACAGTTACTTTTTGCTGATGATACTGTGCTTATGGGAGATTCTAAAGAAAAATTGCAAAGGTTAGTGGATGAGTTTGAGAATGTGTGTAAAGGTAGAAAGTTGAAAGTGAACATAGAAAAGAGTAAGGTGATGAGGGTATCAAATGATTTAGATAAAGAAAAATTGGATATCAAATTGGGGAGGAGGAGTATGGAAGAAGTGAATGTTTTCAGATACTTGGGAGTTGATGTGTCGGCGGATGGATTTATGAAGGATGAGGTTAATCGTAGAATTGACGAGGGAAAAAAGGCGAGTGGTGCGTTGAGGTATATGTGGAGTCAAAAAACGTTATCTATGGAGGCAAAGAAGGGAATGTATGAAAGTATAGTAGTACCAACACTCTTATATGGATGTGAAGCTTGGGTGGTAAATGCAGCAGCGAGGAGACGGTTGGAGGCAGTGGAGATGTCCTGTCTAAGGGCAATGTGTGGTGTAAATATTATGCAGAAAATTCGGAGTGTGGAAATTAGGAGAAGGTGTGGAGTTAATAAAAGCATTAGTCAGAGGGCAGAAGAGGGGTTGTTGAGGTGGTTTGGTCATTTAGAGAGAATGGATCAAAGTAGAATGACATGGAAAGCATATAAATCTATAGGGGAAGGAAAGAGGGGTAGGGGTCATCCTCGAAAGGGTTGGAAAGAGGGGGTAAAGGAGGTTTTGTGGGTGAGGGGCTTGGACTTCCAGCAAGCGTGCATGAGCGTGTTAGATAGGAGTGAATGGAGACGAATGATACTTGGGACCTGACGATCTGTTGGAGTGTGAGCAGGGTAATATTTAGTGAAGGGATTCAGGGAAACCGGTTATTTTCATATAGTCGGACTTGAGTCCTGGAAATGGGAAGTACAATGCCTGCACTTTAAAGGAGGGGTTTGGGATATTGGCAGTGTGGAGGGATATGTTGTGTATCTCTATACGTATATGCTTCTAAACTGTTATATTCTGAGCACCTCTGCAAAAGCAGTGATAATGTGTGAGTGTGGTGAAAGTGTTGAATGATGATGAAAGTATTTTCTTTTTGGGGATTTTCTTTCTTTTTTTGGGTCACCCTGCCTCGGTGGGAGACGACCGACTTGTTGAAAAAAAAAAAAAAAAAAAAAAAAAAACTAGTAAGAAAAAAGAAAACCCAGAAGGGTGTGTGTATATGTAAGCTTTTACATGCATGTGTAGTGTGACCTAAGTGTAAGTGGTAGTAGTAAGATGTACCTGAAATCTTGCATGTTTATGAGGCAGAAAAAAAAAGACACTGGCAATCCTACCATCATGTAAACCATTTACAGGCTTCCATTGCGCATTCATTTGGCAGGATGGTAGTACCTCCCTGGGAGACTGCCATCCACCAACCTACTACCCAGGATTAAGATGAGCATTCCCATTTAACGTCCTGTGTGCTTTTCCACTGTTCATTTGTATTATGTACATACTTTTACATCCAGTTAATTTGAAAATCGATCTCCTTGGAATTTCACTATTTTTTTTTTCTATGACTGTTTTGCACAATGATATCACTTGTTTACTGTGACCTTATTAACAGTGATAATACAGTACAGTGGACCCCCGGTTTACGATCAGCTCCCAATGCAACCAATTATGTAAGTGTATTTATGTAAGTGCATTTGTATGTGTATGTTTGGGGGTCTGAAATGGACTAATCTAATTCACAATATTCCTTATGGGAACAAATTCAGTCAGTACTGGCACCTGAACATACTTCTGGAATGAAATAATATCGTAAACCTGGGGTCCACTGTACTTGACCACATTTCATTCCAAAAAGCCTTAAGCAATACGGATATGGAAAGTTAACATGATTTAGCTGTATTAGAAACTCAAATTTTTACTTACTTTAGCTGAAGATCAATACTGTTGAGCCAGTTCATGAGAGAATCCAGACCTTCCTGGACACCCTGGCATTGAACAAGAGCAGTGTCTAGCTCCTGGCAACGGAGTCCCAATCTGTCAGCAAGTTCAGCATACTGGTCAGAAAGTTCCTCTGGAGGACGTTCAATAGCCTCTTGTTCTCTAGTGTCTAGCTCTCCTTCCAGGGCACGAAGCAGAGAGGCTGCTGTTGCACGGCAATTATCAAACAGTCGTGACTGTGCTACCACATCATTGTTGATAGCCTTGGCCTTGTCTAGTTGGTCTTGAACACCTTTGGGATCAGCACCTACAGGCTCTTGTAGAATGCGAATCACTTTTACCTCAGTGTCTTTGAGCCAGCGGACAGCTTTTTCAATGGCTTCTGTGTAATCACGCTGTTTGTTACCAACACTTGTTGCCTGAAAAGAGAAAGAATCTCTAATTCATTTGTAAAGGTTCACTATTACACTATTACACAATGTTAGTAACCACTACTGTCAATTTCAACTCGTATAACTGTAACTTACCCTATCAACAAGTTTATTGGCACGCGACAGTAGGTCCTTGAATTCCACACTCACATCATCAGCAGCATCACGGACCACAGAGTCTGGATCAGCTTGCAACAATGGGTAGCGCTCTGGCAAGGATGTGCGGAAGTTATTGACAGTACGCAAGTATAAACTGGATTCGTCTAGGAATTTCTGTGTAGCCATGGTAATGAAGCGCAAATCAGCCTGATGAGCAATTACATCACCCAAGAAATCACGACAGCCTTGCTCATGGATTTTTATCTTGTTAAGGTCTGAGCAAAGCCGTTCCTTCTCTAATAAGGTCTTTGTAGCTTGATTCAGCCATGTGTGGAAGAGTGCAATCTCTTTTTCATATTTAGAGAATTCTTCCATGGCAGTGGCAAGACGGCGATGGGTGGTATCAGCCTGAACCACACACCTGTCATAGCGCTGTTTCAAAATGGTGGCAGCCTGGTCCAAAGAAACTAACTCTTCACGGGATAAAACATCACCACCCTGGTTAACTACTTGCCGCACACCATCCAGGCATGTGCCCAGGGGCCGGAACATCTCATCCAGTTCATCTTTGATTGCCTGCAACATGCAATTAGTACATTGTAGAACAATGAAGTTACAATGATTAAAAATGTGATACCTAGAATTCACTGCTCACTGAATATTTCAAGTCATGAGTGGCTGTTTTATTGAATTTATTTGAAACATATCTCATGCTGTACAGTAAAAAGTTTAAACAATTTTTATATACCAAAACCAAGAATTCACAAGGCCTACCTTAACTGTATTGATCTGATTGCGGAGACCATTAGTAGTCTCACTGACAGGCTCTTGTTCAGCCAGGCGTCGCTCTATCTCGTTCACCTTATCCACCATGTCCACAATTGTTGTATCACACTGTCTGTACTTCTCAATCATGGCTTGCTGCAATATGCATACATAAAATGGGTTACAAGCTGCTCTTCTTGTAGTTGCTAACCTAATGGTTGTTGACAATTACTCTTTCCATGGTCAGCTCATGACCAAGGAAATCCAAGGTTGTCAACATGCCAAAGGCTGCTGCTACTACACCCAAATATACCACCACAACAAAGAAGGCTACGTGCTTATCAATAATGCTACAATACAATAAAATGCTTTGGATGCAACATGACCAGCGTACAATAAGAGAACAAATAATAAATGATGGATAGGGTGAGAATAACGTTAGTAAAGCTTCTATTGTAGGTGTACATGTCTGCAGATGTAGCTTTGGATCAGTGGGTGGCAGGATTTAGGAAGGGAAAAGGAGGGACGAGGCTAAGGTCATAGGGTCTGGAGGGTCACAAGCCATGGAGAGCAGGCAGTCACAAAAGCCCACGGTCCACGACAGTCGGCCAAAAGTCGTAATGCACAGTTAACGACTTTTTTGCAGGCACAATAAAACATCCGTAGCGCCAAAGAAATAAAAACCCTAAAATAAACAAAATCAAAATCAAAGAAAAAATACAGAATTATGCAGCAACAACAGAAACCTTACAAGCTACAGTACTTGAGTTTCACAACACAAGCCTCATATCAGCCAAAACTTAATACATCTAGGCTACTAAGAAAAAACCTGTAATAAATGAAAGACAAAAAGGTATAAACGGTAAATTGACCGTTCACCAGTTTTAGTTGGCAGGCTAAATTTCCAAATTTATGTTAGTTCCATTCAAAACCAATTATAAACCTCAAGCAAAAAATTAAATTACGTGTTAATTTGCAATCTTCCAAACACGAATCACCCAGATTAATGCTAGAAGCCAGCTATTGCCTGTTTAATAGTAGGTACAGGTGCAGGCATTCCAAAGTAACAGCAACAGCAGTAGTACTTTGAACAGTATTGCAACTGTACTACACTTGTTACATAAACAGCATTAGGTATGATAGCCGGAAGGTGCAGCATCATTCCCAAAGCTTATTTACTGGTGCAGCTTACCCGCGCTTGTGCGGTGAGTAGGTAACCTTGGCGACGAGCTTCTGGAAGCAGATAGCGAGTGCCTGAGGACGAGTTCACCACAGCGCCACCCTGCTCATCAAGCACACCACTCCGTGCAGCCTCCATCATGCTCTGGATGTTGCCACTAGCAGGACACTTTACCATCGTTGTGGTGCTGTCAATCAGTCCACAGGCAATAGCCTCTTGTAAAGTCATGTGCCGTTTCAGGTGTGGGTTAAGCAAACGTCCGGTCTCTACATCATACAGACCATAGTCCAGAGCTTCAAGAAGGGCAAGACCACGCCGTGGTGTTACAATCAGACCAGTCTCTATGGCTGCAGCAATGGAAAGAAGGTGACTGGTAGCTGTGTTATACACCATGCCCTTCTGTGCATCAACAGCTCCTGTCTCGCATGCCTCAACTGGTTGGAGTAGCTGTCTAGTGCGTGTGTTCTTTATCAGTACAGTCTCTTGGTCAATGAGACCCAAGCGACAAGTTTCCTCTAAATTCAACACCTCTTTAGAGTTTGGATCAGTATACATTCCTGTTTCAGTGTTAAGGTAACCTTTGTCAATGGCTTCATCAAATGACAGAGGTTCTCTGAGGAACACAATTGTACCTTGGTCAAATATAATGCAAAGTGTCTTCAAAGTTCCTGTTTGAGGGTCATAAAGAGCCCGTTTCTTTAAATCAACAAGTCCTTCTCCTATGGCACGCTTCAGGGTCTTATATCTGCCTGTGTTTGGGTCTTTGATGACTGCAGAATCAGGATCAATAAGTTCAAAACGAAGAGCTTCCTCTAAGGTATATTCTATAATTGATTTAGGGTCAGTGTATGTGCCCTTTTCCAAGTCAATGGATCCTTCTCTAACTGCCTGCATGAAGCTAACTGGCTTTCCTACTGTTACAATGAGCCCTCTTTCATATGCTACATTGATGGTATAAACTTTCTTGGTCTGTGGATCAACTACTAGGCCTTTAGGAGAATCTATCTCCTTATCTTCTATGGCAGACCGAATGCTTTTTATCGACTCGTCTGCAGGATTCTTAAGGGCAGAAGTATTGCCATCAATTAGATTGTGATTAATAGCTTCATTAAGGTCAAGCTTATCTCCCACGCATGGCTCTGTGAAACGACCTGTATCTGGGGAATATATACCGTACTTTAGTGCTTCTTCAATAGTGAGCGGTCGTTTAGAGGGAACAACAAGGTTCTTTTTAACTGCCTCCTCCAGTGATAGCTCTTCTTTGGTGGTGGGCATAATATACTTGCCCTTCACATCATCAATAATTCCTTCTTTTACAGCAAAATTTAACTTCAAAAACTGAGATTTACTTGGATCCCTAATAACTGAGATAGCCTGATCAACAATATCTTGCTTACAAGCATCAGCTAAAGTCAACTTACGGCCTGTATTTGGCTGGATCATGCGGCCTGTCTTTTTATCATAGAAACCCATGGTGATTGCATCATACACACTCTGTGGCTTATCAATATCAAGTATCATACCATGCTCAAGTGCATCCATCAGGGTGAGAGTGCAGCCAGACCTGGGATCATTAAATTTGCCATGTCTCCGATCAATAATGCCCTCCCTACATGTTTGAACAAGGGAGAAGCAACTAGATGTACTGCTATCCCAATAACACGGAAGACTGGGGTTTATAACCAGTCGTCGCATAGCCTCGTGGAGTGTGATCCTCCGGCCAGTGTTAATGTCAGTCAGGAGTCCCTTCTCATTATCTAGTAGACCTTGGTGCAGCGCACTTTGCAGTGACATAGCTACACGACTGTCCACTACTAGTGTCAGCTCATATGCCTCCAGCAACGTGTGCCAAGTACCTGTTTGGTGATTCTTCACTAGAGCACTCTCTCCATCAATTATGTCATACTCCACAGCCTCTCGTAGATTTACCTTCTTTAGGCGACCAGATAGGGTGTCCTTCACATGGGTTGAGTCCGGATCTATCATTTGTACAGCCAGTGCTTCTGAAAGTGTAATCCATTCTCCTGTGGTAGGATTCAAGAATTTCCCCGATTCTTCCATATAAAGTTCCTTCATGATGACATCTCTTAAGGCCATTGGCATCTGTGCCTCAATAAGATAGTCTTGTTCAAATGCATCCTTAAAGTTCATTTTTTTAATTCGTCCAAAGTTGAACATGCCAGTTCTAGTATCCACAAGTTCTTTGAAAACAGCCTGTTTAAAACTCATCAGCTTTTCTGTGTCAGGATCTCTGGCTAGCGTTGTGCTTGGATCAACCAAGCCAGATCGTATTGCTTGGCTCACTGTCATTTCATCCGATGATAAAAGACTTGCGACATGACCTGTGCCAGGATTATACAAGCCTTTGGTCACAGCCTGATACAGAGTAAACTTTGTACGACCTTCTATAATAACTCCTTTAGTTAAGGCCTCCATCAGCTCAGTGTCAGTGCCTGTTATGGGGTCCCTGAACGTCCCTGTCATAGGATTAATAATACCAACTTTGATAGCATCTTCCAGTGTGAGTGAATCACCAGTTCGTGGATCCTTTACTGAAAGGCAAGAAGGATCAATTATATTTCGCTGTATGGCCTCCTTTATCGTAATGCGGTCACCATCTATGGTAACTAGACCAGTTTCTGAGTCATAAAACCCGTCTTCCAGAACCTGTTGCAAGGAGAGCGAGCCTAAAGCTGTCACAAGGTAACCTCTCCTCACAGCTTCATCTAAGCTCATTTGCTTTGGTTGCAGCAATTTTCCTGCTTCTCCATCCAAAATACCCTTGTCTAGAGCATCACTTATGATGTGTGCATCTTCATTTATCCTTACTCTACACGTATTAACATCTACCAGTTTATAGGATATTGCTGCATTTAATGTTAATTCTTCACCCTCACAAGCATCATAAAAGTAGCCGGTTTGTGGATTGTACATATCACATGATACAGCATCAGTAAGAGGTACCAGGTTTCGCCGTGTTACAATCATATTTTCTCTCACTGCTTCATCAAATGTGATGAAAGTATTCTTCTTTGTGTTCTTTATTTTCCCATTCTGAGCCACAACAAGGTCATGAAGTAGAGCATCATCTAAGGTAACATATTTGTCTGCCTTTACATCTTTACAGAGAGTAATAAAAGAGTCAACAACTCCTCTCTTAACTCCTTCATCCACATCAAGTTTTTGTTTCATGAGTGTATCTGTGATCTTGCCAGAGTTGGGATCATATAAATTCTTCTTTACTATAGCCACCAGAGACATGGGCTTTCTTTTGGGTATTAATATTCCTTTGGTAAGAGCTGTTGTGAAATCTATCTCGCATCCATTTTCAGGGTCTTTAAATGTTGCTTTCTCCAAGTCAATAAGACCTGTATCTACTGCTTCTTTCAAAGAGATAATATCTTCATTCCTAGGGTCATAGACCTGTATAGTAGATGGGTCAAGAAGACCACTTTGCATAGCATCCCCAATTACCATACTCTCCCCAGTTGTGGGATTAGTAAATATGCCTGTATCAGGTTTTAGAAGGCCTCTCCCAATGGCTTCATTTAATGCAACTACTGGCTCCAATTTGTCTTCTACTTTTTTAGGTTCTTTTTTGTCGTCAGGTTTCACCAAACCTTTCTTTGCTGCTTCAAAGAATTTAACAGGTTTTCCAGTCTGAGAGTCTAAAATTTCACCTGTGGTAGCATTTATAATGCCTTCTTTGATGGCATCGCTGAGAGGCATTTCTCGTCCAGTTAAAGGATCTTTTACAAGTGTATTGTCTGGACTAAAAGAACAAGTATCAAGTGCTTTCTGGAAAGGCACTGGTTCTCCTGTAACTGGGTCAATGAAATTTCCATTTTCAGGATCATATTGTCCTCTTTCAGCCATAATTGCTGGGTCTAAGGACTTCACCACTTCTGTTATAATTGTTATTTCTTCAACTATCCAGATTTCAGTTCTACTTCTAATTTCTATAACTGTGACAAGA